CGCGCGGTCGCCGAGCGTAGTCTGGTCGGCGAGTGAAAGTGAGCAGGCGCCGCCCGAATTTTAACTCCGCGCTAAAGCTATGGTCACAAATCTGAGCAGCGACCGACCGATCAGTAGCCTGCTCGGTCGCTGCTGGAATTTAGGCATCGCCCATCGCCCATCGCCGGGCGGCGACCGCCCAGGCACCGAGCGTATTTTGGGCGGCGAGTGAAAAGTGAGCAGGCGCCGCCCAAATTTTAACTCTGCGCTAAAACTTCAGCGGCGGCCGAGCGATGCCCTAAAAACGAGCGGTGCCTGGGCGGCCGCCGCTCGGTGGCCGGGCAAAATTGGCTAAAAACTCGCCGCTCGGCCGCCGAGCAGGCTACTTTTGGGTAATGTGACCATAGCATTAGCGTATTTATACAACAAGCAAAACAAGGGAATAGTGATTGGAGAAGCAGTACAGTATCATTATCCTCATTAAAGTATAGTATTAATGACTGCTTTCAGAGAAATAGTTGTTTTTATACGCTCAAGGGAAGGTTAGAATTGTGCTATTACCCGAGGCGTGCCGAGGGCAATAGCCCAATTGTAACCTTCCCGAGAGCGTATAAAAACAACTATTTCTCGAATATTAAAGCAGTCATTAATACTTTTATATGCCGAAAAAAAAACAGACTAAAAAATAAAAAATAAAAAAAAAAAAAAAAAAAAAAACTTTGTGATGGGATGGGATGGGATTCGATCTCTTGCGTTCAAAAGGTGATGTAACTAAACTCAGCGCCTTAAACCGCTCGGCCAGTCACCAGTCGCGCTCTGTCACCATAGATAGCAGTTTTTTCTAATATATACATTAAAATGGATTGAAAACGGCTTCGCGTGGTGGATGCTTCGCCGCTGCTCCATTAAACGGGCCCTTCTTTTACTTTTGCAATGCATATACGCACGAACTTAGATCAAGATCTATCGGCAGATGTTGTTTTTTTGTTTTTGGAAGTTTATTTTCGTCTTCATGTCAACAATGCAAGATAAAATTGTCGGTAAGATCGATCGAGATTCAATTGTATTGAAATTACCGACCAATTCTTCGCACACGTACGGTATCCTCGATCGCTCAGACCATTTTTTAACATGTAAACCTATGGGGGTAACCATGGAGACTTAACTATTTTCCCGTTAACCATGGTTATTGGGATTTTAGAACTGTTTTAACCATGGTTACTGGGAATTTTCGGGAACAGTTAAAGTTTATGAATGCAATTTCGACCAATCAGATTGCTGGATTACTTAAGTGAGGTATATAATTATTATTATTATCTGTATCATTACCATCTTTATTTATCAATTTTCAACAGGTTCAAAAGTTATACATAGGAGGTTGTACTCTAGATAGCATTGATCCATCAGCATCACGTGACCTAGCCAGGTTTCTTTGTCTTCAGCCTTGTCTCATTGACCTGACGATTGGGCTCAACGATACGTATTACGAGCCAACGCTTCTACATGATGAATTCTACCACGAACTTGCTCGTCTTGCTTCTTCCTCAAATGTAATTTCTAAGGCTTGTCACTTTTTATCAAAGTAAATTGATATTTTATACGTAGATAGATCAAATCGAAAGATGATATTTTCTAGTAATCAAACAAGAGAGATCAAAAGTTTAATATAGGACATAAGAATCAAAATTGATTTCTGAGTCTTTGTGGTCTTATATCTCTTGGATATATGTATTGTTTATGATAATCATATTTCATATTATTCATTACTTCTTTCTTACTTGCCTAAAAGAATTGAGAAGTTGAAGGTGATATGTAATGACGTAGACACTTATTCTTTGTATATATTGACATGGGCTGATAAATTAATAATTAAATTTCTTTCGAAAACCAAGTATTCGTATGCATACACCAGTGATTATTTTGTTTTAAATCGTTCTTATCCAATCAAATATGACCCCCTGAAACTATTTGTTCGGCTTAACATAACAACAGAAATTAAAATTGGTATTTAATTTCGAGGTGAAAAACATTATTGTCTGATAGATTCGAAAGGGGGTATATATGAAACGGGGTAACATTAAATAACTAATAAAGATCAGGCCTGTCTTTATACCCAAATGGATCGGAGTACAGTAAAGGAAAATTAAACAGTCCTAATTCACCTCCAGCGCATGTTTGTAAAGGTTTGTAGTATTCCTATAGAAGGTTAAACAAACATTTGATTTAGAAAGAGGTAATTTTTGTCCTTGCCTTGTAAAATTGAAGAAACGTATTGCAATTACTTGTCGTAGTAATAACTAGTAGTAGTAGTAGTAGGGATGGAGTAGTATCATTGTCATAATTAAAATTATTACAATTTACAGCAACATTACCATCTGCATTTATCACTTTTCAACAGGTTCAAAAAATATCCATAAAAGCTCTTTATCTTGAGAAGAATGATCTATCAGCATCACGTGACCTAGCCAGGTTTCTCTGTCTTCAGCCTTGTCTCATTGACCTGATGATATGGCTCAACGATCCGAATTACGGGCCAACGCTTCTACACGATAAATTCTACCACGAACTTGCTCTTTTTGCTTCTTCCTCAAAGGTTATTTTTAAGGTTCTTCACTCTTTATCAAAATAAATTATGCCAGTGATAGGTAGATAGATCAAATCGAAAGGTGATATTTTCTATTAATCAAACAAGAAAGATTAAAAGTTTAACATAGGACATAAGAATCTAATTTGATTGCTGAGTCTTTGCGGTCTTATATCTCTTGGATATATGTATTGATTATGATAATCATTTTTTATATTATTCATTAATTCTTTCTAACTTGCCAAAAAGAATTGAGAAGTTGAAGATGATATGTACTGACGTAGACACGTATTCATTGTATATATTTACATTGGCTGATAAATTAATAATTAAATTTCTTTCGAAAACCAAGTATTCGTATGCATACACCAGTGATTATTTTGTTTTAAATCGTTCTTAACCAATCATATATGACTCCCTGAATATATTTGTTAGGCTTAGCATTACAACAGAAATCAAAATTGGTATTCAATTTCGAGGTGAAAAACATTATTGTCTGATAGATTCGAAAAGGGTATATATGAAACGGGGTAACATTAAATAAGTAATAAAGATCAAGCCTGTCTATATACCCAAATGGATCGGAGTACAGTAAAGGGAAATTAAACAGTCCTGATTCTTCTCCAGCGCGTGTTTGTAAAGGTTTGTAGTATTCCTATTGAAGGTTAAACAAACATTTGATTTAGAAAGAGGTAATTTTTGTCCTTGCCTTGTAAAATTGAAGAAACGTATTGCAATTACTTGTCGTAGTAATAACTAGTAGTAGTAGTAGTAGGGATGGAGTAGTATCATTGTCATAATTAAAATTATTACAATTTACAGTAACATTACCATCTGCATTTATCACTTTTCAACAGGTTCAAAAAGTATCCATAAAAGCTCTTTATCTTGAAAGGAATGATCCATCAGCATCACGTGACCTAGCCAGGTTTCTCTGTCTTCAGCCTTGTCTCATTGACCTGATGATATGGCTCAACGATCCGAATTACGAGCCAACGCTTCTACACGATGAATTCTACCACGAACTTGCTCTTTTTGCTTCTTCCTCAAAGGTAATTGTTTAGGTTCCTCACTTTTTATCAAAATAAATCATGCCATTGATACGTAGATAGATCAAATCGAAAGGTGATATTTTCTAGTAATCAAACAAGAAAGATCAAAAGTTTAACATTGGACATAAGAATCTAATTTGATTGCTGAGTCTTTGCGGTCTTATATCTCTTGGATTTATGTATTGGTTATGATAATCATATTTTATATTATTCATTACTTTTTTCTTACTTGCCTAAAAGAATTGAGAAGTTGAAGGTGATATGTAATGACGTAGACACTTATTCTTTGTATACAGGGCGTATCATAATAAAGGATATTGAAGTTTAATGACGATTTATATGAAAACTACTGATTTCATAATCAAGCATTTTATGTCTGTTGTAAAGGACAGAATGTCCTCTTGTTAATGACACCCCGATCATACTACTACTGTCACAGTTGACTGAATAACAAAGCATTGCTGTCCACCATGTGAAAGGTGCACTGTGACAAGTTAGCATTCACAGATAAATTCTAAAGATTAGTGCTTGTGTCAGCCCAGACATATTGAAATGCTGAACAATGAGTGGATTATGTGTCTAAGAAGGAAATGTTATCAAACTTGGCACAGTGCAACTTTCACATGGTGGACAGCAATGCTTTGTTATTCAGTCAACTGTGACAGTAGTAGTATGATCGGGTGTCATTAACAAGAGGACATTCTGTCCTTTACAACAGACATAAAATGCTTGATTATGAAATCAGTAGGTTTTATATAAATCGTCATTAAACTTCAATATCCTTTATTATGATACGCCCTGTATATTTACATGGGCTGATAAATTAACAATTACATTTCTTTCTAAAACCAAATATACGTATGCATACACCAGTGATTTAAAAAAAAAATTAAAATCGTTCTTAGCCAATCATATATGACCATCTGAAAATATTTGATAGGCTTAACATTACAACAGAAATTAAAATTGGTATTCAATTTCGAAGATAAAAACATCTTTGCGTGATATAGATTCGAGGGGGATATATGAATCACGGTAACATTAAATAGGTAATGAAGCCTGTCTATATCCCCGAATGGGTCGGAGTTCAGTAAAGAAAAATGAAACAGTCCTAATTCATCTCCAGCGCATGTTTGTAAAGGTTTGTAGTATTCCTATAGAAGGTTAAACAAACATTTGATTCAGAAAGGGGTGATTTTTGTCCTTGCCTTGTATTGTAACATTTACTTAATTGGAAAAAACTTATTGCAATTATTTGTAGTAGTAGTAGCTAGTAGAAGTAGTTGGAAAAGGAGTAGTGTCATTATCCTAATTAAAAATATTATTATTAAGTGTATCGTTACAATCTTCATTTATCACTTTTCAACAGATTCAAGAGTTATACATAGGAGTGCGTACTCTAGACAGGAATGATCCATCAGCATCACGTGACCTAGCCAGGTTTCTCTGTCTTCAGCCTTGTCTCATCGACCTGACGATTGGGCTCAACGATACGGCCTACGGGCCAACGCGTCTACACGATGAATTCTACCACGAACTTGCTCTTCTTGCTTCTTCCTCAAAGGTCATTTCTAAAGTTTGTCACTTTTTATCAAAGTAAATCTTACCACTGATACGTGGATAGATAAAATCGAAAGATGATATTTTCTAGTACCCGAACAAAGATATTACGGAAGTTTGACATAGGACATAAGAATCTTAATTGATTGCTGAGTAAAGAAAATTGAAACAGTCCTAATTCATCTCCAGCGCATGTGTGTAAAGGTTTGTACTATTCCTACAGAACGTTAAACAAACATTTGATTTAGAAAGGGGTAATTTTTGTCCTTGAGTTGTATTGTAACATTTACTTAATCGAAGAACGGTATTGCAATTATTATTTGTATTAGTAGTAGTAATTAGTAGTAGTAGTAGTAGTAGTAGTAGTAGGAGTAGTATCCTTATCATAATTAAAAATATTATTATTAACAATAACATTACCATCTGCATTTATCACTTTTCAAAAGGTTCAAAAATTATCCATAAAAGCTCTTTTACTTGAGAGGAATGATCTATCAGCATCACGTGACCTAGCCAGGTTTCTCTGTCTTCAGCCTTGTCTCATCGACCTGACGATTGGGCTCAACGATACGGCCTACGGGCCAACGCGTCTACACGATGAATTCTACCACGAACTTGCTCTTCTTGCTTCTTCCTCAAAGGTCATTTCTAAAGTTTGTCACTTTTTATCAAAGTAAATCTTGCTATTGATACGTACATAGATAAAATCGAAAGATGATATTTTCTAGTAACCAAACAAGAAATTACAGACGTTTAACATAGGACATAAGAATCTAAATTGATTTCTGAGTCTTTGCGGTCTTATATCTCTTGGATATATGTATTGATTATGATAATCATATTTTATGTACTTCTTTCTTACTTGCCTAAATGAATTGAGAAGTTGAAGATGATATGTAATGACGTAAACACGTATTCATTGTATATATTTACATGGGCTGATAAACTAATAATTAAACTTCTTTCGAAAACCAAATATACGTATGCATACACCAGTGATTATTTTCATTTCATCGTTCTTAACCAATCATATTGTATGACCCACTGAAATATTTTTTTGGCTTACCATTACAACAGAAATTAAAATTGGTATTCAATTTCGAAGTTAAAAACATCTTTGCCTGATAGATTTGAGGGGGGATATATGAATGACGGTAACATTAAATAGGTAATGAAGCCTGTCTATATCCCCGAATGGATCGGAGTTCAGTAAAGAAAAATGAAACAGTCCTAATTCATCTCCAGCGCATGTTTTTAAAGGTTTGTAGTATTCCTATAGAAGGTTAAACAAACTTTTGATTTAGAAAGGGGTAATTTTTGTCCTTGCCTTGTATTGTAACATTTACTTAATTGGAAAAAACTTATTGCAATTATGTGTAGTAGTAGCAGCTAGTAGAAGTAGTTGGAAAAGGAGTAGTGTCATTATCCTAATTAAAAATATTATTATTAAGAGTATCGTTACAATCTTCATTTATCACTTTTCAACAGATTCAAAAGTTATACATAGGAGTGCGTACTCTAGACAGGAATGATCCATCAGCATCACGTGACCTAGCCAGGTTTCTCTGTCTTCAGCCTTGTCTCATCGACCTGACGATTGGGCTCAAGGATACGGCCTACGGGCCAACGCGTCTACACGATGAATTCTACCACGAACTTGCTCTTCTTGCTTCTTCTTCAAAGGTCATTTCTAAAGTTTGTCACTTTTTATCAAAGTAAATCTTGCCACTGATACGTGGGTAGATAAAATCGAAAGATGATATTTTCTAGTACCCGAACAAAGATATTACGGAAGTTTGACATAGGACATAAGAATCTTAATTGATTGCTGAGTAAAGAAAAATGAAACAGTCCTAATTCATCTCCAGCGCATGTGTGTAAAGGTTTGTACTATTCCTACAGAACGTTAAACAAACATTTGATTTAGAAAGGGGTAATTTTTGTCCTTGCGTTGTAATGTAACATTTATTTAATCGAAGAAACGTATTGCAATTATTTGTAGTAGTAGTAGTATTAGCAGTAGTAGTAATAGTAGTAGTAGTAGTAGAAGTAGTAGTAGTAGGTGTAGTATCATTATTATAATTAAAATTATTACAATTTACAGTAACATTACCATCTGCATTTATCACTTTTCAACAGGTTCAAAAATTATCCATAAAAGCTCTTTATCTTGAGAGGAATGATCTATCAGCATCACGTGACCTAGCCAGGTTTCTCTGTCTTCAGCCTTGTCTCATCGACCTGACGATTGGGCTCAAGGATACGGCCTACGGGCCAACGCGTCTACACGATGAATTCTACCACGAACTTGCTCTTCTTGCTTCTTCCTCAAAGGTCATTTCTAAAGTTTGTCACTTTTTATCAAAGTAAATCTTGCCACTGATACATGGATAGATAAAATCGAAAGATGATATTTTCTAGTACCCGAACAAGAAATTACAGAAGTTTAACATAGGACATAAGAATCTAAATTGATTTCTGAGTCTTTGCGGTTTTATATCTCTTGGATATCTGTATTTATTATGATAATCATATTTTATATTATTCATTACTTCTTTCTAACTTGCCGAAAAGAATTGAGAAGTTGAAGATGATATGTACTGACGTAGACACGTATTCATTGTATATATTTACATGGGCCGATAAATTAATAATTATCTGTTTTCGAAAATCAAATATACGTATGCATACCAGTGATTATTTCAATTTTAACTCGTTCTTCATTATGACCCCCTGAAACTATTTGTTATGCTTAGCATTACAACAGAAATTAAAATTGGTATTCAATTTTGAGGTAAAAAACATCTTTGCCTAATGGATTCGAGAGGGGATGAATCACAGTAATAATAAACAGGTGACCAAGCCTGTCTATATATCCAATGGATTGGTGTGGTTTACAGTGAAGACAAATGAAACGTCCTAATTCTTCTCCAGCGAATGTTTATAAAGGTTTGTAGTATTCCTACAGAAAGTTAAACAAATTTTTGATATAAAAGGGGTAATGTTTGTCCTTGCCTTGTATTGTAACATTTACATAATTGAAGAAACGCAGTGCACTTATTTGTAGCAGTAATAGCTAGTAGTAGGAAAAGGAGTAGTATCATTATCATGATTAAAATTATTATTACTTACAGTAACGTTGCCATCTTCATTTACCACTTTTCAACAGGTTCAAAAGCTATCCATAGGAGTTTATTCTCTAGCGAGGAATGATCAATCAGCATCACGTGACCTAGCCAGGTTTCTCTGTCTTCAGCCTTGTCTCATCGACCTGACGACTGGGCTCAAGGATACGAATTACGGGCCAACGCGTCTACACGATGAATTCTACCACGAACTTGCTCTTCTTGCTTCTTTCTCAAAGGTCATTTTTAAAGTTTCTCACTTTTTATCAAAATAAGTCTAGCCAGTGATACGTACGTAGATCAAATCGAAAGATGATATTTGCTAGCACCTGAACAAGAAAGATCAGAAGTTCAACATAGGACATAAGAATCCAATGTATTTCTGAGTCTTTGCGGTCTTATATCTCTACATGTATTGATTATCCAATCCAATCCAAAAGATATTTGATATAGCGCCTTTTCCTTGCAGTTACAAAGCGCTCCACACATGCTCGACAATGATAATCATATCTTAAACTGTCCTATGTTAAACTTCTGATCTTTCTTGCTCGGGTACTAAAAACTATCATCTTTCGATTTAATATATCTACGAATTAATGGCAATATGTAGGCCTACTTTGATAATAAGTGAGAAACCTTGAAAATTACCTTTGAAGAAGAAGAGAATAAACTCCTATTAATAGAAATTAAAAGAATTGAGAAGTTGAAGATGATATGTAATGACGTAGACACGTATTCATTGTATATAATTTACATGGGCCGATAAATTAATAATTAACTTTTTTCGAAAACCAAATATACGTATGCATACCAGTGATTATGTTCATTTTAAATCGTTCTTATCCAATCAAATATGACCCCCTGAAACTATTTATTCGGCTTAGCATAACAACAGAAATTAAAATTGGTATTCAATTATGAGTTTAAAAATATCCTTGCCTGATAGGTGTGTGGGGGCGATAAATGAATGACGGTAACATTAAATAGGAAATCAAGCCTCTCTATATATTCAAAGGGGTTGTGGAATACAGTAAAGAAAAATTAAACACTCCTGATTCTTCTCCAGCGAATGTTTATAGCTTTCCTACAGAAGTTTAACAAAAATTTGATTTAGAAAGAGTAATTTCTTTCCTTGCCTTAATTGTGATGTAACATTTAAAACATTGACGAAACACATTGTCATTATTATATGTAAGTATTAGTAACTAATATTAATATCAGTAGTATTAGCAGCAGCAGCAGCAGCAGCAGCAGCAGTAGTAGTAGTAGTAGTAGTATTAGTAGTAGTTCTAGTACTAGTAGGATTTTTTGAAGGGGGGGGTTAAAATCGGACCAAAAATTTCGCAACGACTCAGCCAGCCGCTGAATAAGCGGGGGGGGGGGGGGGGGGGGGGGGGGGGGAGGTAAGAGGACATTTTTTTATATTTTTTTGTCCCGAAATTTGAAATTTTGACCCATTGACATTCCGTTCCGTTGGGGGGGGGGGTAAGGTCATCTATAAGGATTTTTTGTTTAAATTATTTTTTTATATAAAAAAAAAAATCAAAAGGGGGGGTTCAAAAAAAAAACATACACATCAAAAAAACTCAAGGGGGGTTTAACCCCCCCCCCCCTGCGTACGCGCCTGGGTTCACGTGCACTCATTGACCGACAGTGAGACATATAGACTATATACAGTATAAACAAAATTTAAAAAAAGTGAGAAGTGCAAGTAATTACATGTTTGGCTGCTTAGTTTACAGGGGTTGAAATCCAGCAGTAGGCTGCAAGCATGACTTTGTGACAGTAGGGATGGCAGCCTCCTGGAAAGTAGCTAGTGAGGGTGTGTTAACAGCTACATTTGTATTTCATTTTGTCATGGTACGTGAATAGAAAGAGTATTTAAATGTATCTACAGTAGCATATGGTATGTGAGTTTGAGGGGGTGGAATATATAGTCTGGGTATGAAAGAGGCTGGAGTAATGGCATGTGGGAGTGGAATATTGGGATAGACTTTGAAAGGCATGGTTGCTCGTGCAAAAAGACGGCGAGAGTGCAGTGCATGGATCCAAATTTAGCTGCAATGAAGCATGCTCTTCTGGTAGTCTCGATGGATGAAACGATTGGTGGCTTTCTGTACACTCTCAAGATCTCCAGTGCAGATGGTTGTGTGATGGTTCCAGACCTCAGCACCGTATTCCATCTGTGGTCGCACAACGGCTTGGTAGCTAGGCGATGTTCGTTATTTCTTCGGAGCAGGCCGGTGATAATAAAGTCCTCCTAAGAAATCCCAGTGTGCGATTGCATGGCTTTGTGGCAGATTTGCTGGCAGTGGAGGTTCCAACGTATATCATGTGCTATTTTTAAACCCAGATATTCGTATAGGCAGTTTTACGAGTTGTTATTATCTCTAATTTCTGAACAGATTGAAAAGCTCTGCATAGACTGCAACCTGGAGAAAAATGATCCAACGGCATCGCGTGCCTTAGCCAAGTTTCTATGTCGTCTGACTTTTCTCACCGACCTGACGATGAAGGACTCTAGTAAACTAAGGGTACATGATGATTTCTACCATGAGATTTCTCTTCTTGCTTCTTTCTCAAAGGTAAAGTAACAAATAAATGATTAATACGTGTTTTTTTATTTTTATAATTATGATTATGTATAATATTTTAGGCATCCCCTGATGCATTTCCTGGAGTCGGAAGAAAAGGCTTACGGGTTATAGGAATTTTACATTCCTTTTTTTCTTCCCCGCAACTTCGGGAGGTGCAGCAGGGGAAGCCAATTTTATTCTTTCATACTTTGTATTCTATGTGCCATTCTATTGTTCCTTGTATAGTATGTTTGAAATGCCAAATAAATAATAATAATAATAATAATAATAAACATTGTTTATTTCTCCCACGGTCCGTCAATAACAAAAAAGGTGTTGTCGGCGACCCGGGGAAGGGGGTTTGGGGCGGAAGAACGCCTTACACAGCTCATCAAGTAGGGTCTTCAAAGCCTTGATTTTAAGAAAACTTCCTAAAATAAAATCTGAAGATAATCTGAAGACTGTTACACTTTGTTTTCAATTAGACCGTCGCTCCTTAGATCAAGTTGCTTTAAAAATTGTCACATTGTTTCTCTCTGGTATTTAAAGGAAATGACGTCTGAACAGAATGGTAGAAAAGTTGTGAATAAAAGGTTACGATCTAAACAAGAATATTCCAGCAGCATCGCATGATGAATTTTTGTTATGATATTGTTAGTCTAGCTTCTACCTCAGAAATATGAAAACATTACTCTTGCGGCGATTATAATCTTTAAGAATTAATGTCAATGACAAGTTTCCCATTTGTTCGAATGACGCGCTCCAGATAAATGTAATGCATTATAACCACTGAAATCATTGAAAAACAAATTATACAAGAAAGAATAAATGAAGAAAAGTATAAAGAAGTTCCATATTTCAAGACAACTGCCGAAAGATAAAAGACCTTTAAAAACCAAATATATTACAACACCATGTCATCAGTCAGCAGACCTATTATTCACCTTTATGACTATAGCATCACCCCC